GTGGAAACTGATCAGCTGGAGGCGCCGCGGGTCCGGCCCTTTGCTCAGCGTCTCCCTGGTCTGCTGGCTCCCCCAGCAGCCCAGGGAGACGGGGAGCAGCTTTTCTCGCCCCGGAGGAGGCGGGCGGCGGGACCAGGCGTCCCGCCGCTCCAGTCCTCCGGTGCGAGAAAATCCCCGTTCGTAACTGCGGATCCAACATAAGTCAGATCCGCGTAACTCGGGGACTGCCTGTAGTTGACTAGTGCTTAACATTTAGGGCAATATCCTACACTCTGTTTTGGGATTAATGTCCAAGTGATGCGACTAAGATGCTTACCTATTTGGTTTTATGGCTGCAACCTGATCTTACACAGTTATAGATATACTTAGAGATAGACAGGCTACTCCTACACTCCTGAAGGTATGACCTTTAATATAACTAATAATAATAATATTCATTTACAAGATGATTTTCTGCTCTCTCCAGGATAGGTACAAAACCCATAATATAAACCAATGAAAACTTACTCCGAGGTAAGCAATGAAACAATGTTAAACAAACATCGGGAACCAATTCCTTACCAGGTAGCATTCTGAAAACTTTTTGAAGTCAGAAGTAAGGATGTTAAATATTGATTAATTTACTAGTTGAGTAGTCAGAAGGGGCTTAGGCCTTGCTTAAAAGAGGTCAAACTAATGGCCCTAATACCAGACAGTAAGGCACAGCCCAAAACACAGAGAGGCCAGGACTACGACACAGCTCATGTCCCATCTCCAAATCCACAATGCCCTCTATGACCTAAGAAGATAAGAACTCAATAGAGAAAGCCAAAAGCACAGTATAAGGTACGTAGGATCCAGTCTGTTTTCAAGGCTTTGAGTGTCAACATCAAAGGCTCCTCCTTCTCAATACATGCACCTCCGAGAGCAATCTGGGCTGAGCATGGTAAAGCAGACAGTAGCAGAACCACCTCTGCCTGCGTCTGGCAATCGTGTTGTCATGTTCTATGAGACAACTGTCCAGGCAGCTTTGTTTTTAGGCCTGCTTTCCTTGAAAGCAACTGTTTCTGTATGTGTGGAGCCTGTGTGCGTGCACTAAACATATCACCTGCTGGAGATAATATTATTTGATCAGCAATAAAATGGAAGAACTGCTCAATGGCGCTGAATGAATGTCTTGTTTCCTTCCCCTGTAGGATGTGGGCGATGACCTGTTTCCCTTCCAGCCTTTTAAAGCTTCCCCCGCCCCCCACCATTCCTTAAAAAACAACTCACCTAAAAATCCCAGGATTCAGTGAGTTATTATGGCTATTAGTATTTGTATGTGGTAGCTGGCGGCAAGAGACGTGTTTTATCATCTTATTACCCACCCCAAGTCTGTGAACCAGAGTACAACCCACAGACAGGCTTGGCTCTGCAAAGAATATGCATTGAATTAACCTCTCAAGAAAATCTAAAAGCTTTAGGCTTTGTTTTATTAAACTGCTTAGAATATACACCACTGTAAATCTGACCCAGAAGGTTTTCTTTTCATAGCGCTTGGCTACCCTATTTTGTAGTAACAGTAAAACACCAAGCATACATAAACATTCTTGACCTTAGTGCGATATTAATAATGGGGGCCTACAAGATCATTACCCAATGCAGTTGGCGTGGGTGCAGGTCAATCGGTATTAACCCATTCAGCTATAGCTAGGTAAGGAGTACTTGCACCCTTGGTAATAAGTAAAAGAAGGATGCTCAGGGCATGAACAGGAGTTTAAAAGAGTGTTCGGGGGGGGAGGGGGCAAAGGGGTACTCTCCTTATCTGGTATTTGCCATAAATATCAGGATCCATTTTCTAACAGCAGGATGCTGCTGTGAGGTAGCTTGTCAAAACTGGCAGGCAGGCCCCAAAGCACGGGTAGCAGTCTCCTGTGCTCCAGCTTGCACATGGATCCCTTTCATTTTGAAAGCAACCTTTAAAATAAATCTACAACGTAAGCCTCCCTTCTCACGCCCCATACCCCCGGCTCCTTTGTTTCTTTGTTACACCCCCTACTGCACGTTGTCTTACACTAAGTTTGTAAGCTCTTTGGGACAGGGAGAGGGCCTAGCATAACCAGACCTGACCCCAGTTGAGGCCTGTAGGCACTACTGATGAGAAAGTTTAACCTGCTCTTTTCACTGGGGCATAATTAGCAGGCCTCTCTTCCAAAGAATTACAGGATTGTAACCAAGCATTCTTTTTACAAGACAGAAAGGACGACAGCTATTGGTTAGCTGACTCTATCACCAATAAATATAGTACTGCCCTTGCTCTGCACTCTAGGGTTGCCAGGTGTCCAGTTTTCACCCGGACAGTTCAGTATTTGTATCCCATCTGTCTGGTATTTTCTGTTTCTCTCAGACATAAGGCCAGTGGGGACATTCTTCCCCTGCTGCGTCTGGCAGGGGAAGCATGGGGATTTAAAGGTGCAGTGAGCTTTTTTTTTTTTTTGCTCAACCAATTTTTTTTCCATCATGTTCAGGATTTTTTGTGAAAGTATCTGGCAACCCTACTGCGCTCTTGAGTTTCTTAGCTTGAGGCATTTCCTGACAGTTGCATTACCACTCCTATTAGCGTTTGGGAACCCAATGGGGCCCAACTCTGTCATCAAATGCACAGCCAGGCCACGGCTCTCAATTGACTCTTAAGTCATAATGCAAGATCGGGGGAGGGGGGAAAGGAATATGGCCCATTCAGTATTCATAGTATATAGTGCAAATACAATACTGAGTCAAAGGATATACTGCAGTGTTTCTTAAACTGCTGTGAGGCAGTCGGAGGTGTTCCATGGAGAACAGAGTTCAAAATGGCCGCCCTTAAAGGGGGAGGCAACTTTTTTTTTTGGCTCAATAACTTTCCCCCGGATCCCCCCCCCCCTTTTTTTTTGCTCAACAAAAAAATCCTTGGTGTTCCTCATTTAAAAAAAAAATTGTTTGTTGTTTCTCAGTCTTAAAAAGTTTAAGAAACACTGATCTACTGTGTACAGATAATGGGTGATAATGGGTGAGAGGGGCTTGAAAAATGAGAAAGTAAATACAAGGGAGCCAAGAAACCATGTCAATGGTAACTTCGGAATTCTTTTGTTGCTGTTGCTT